TGCGCAGTGATTTTTGTATACACCGCGAACTGTAAAATGTTGTTATACAAAGTAACTAGATTGTACAAGTTCCGTTAAACAATTTCGCAATGCGCACAACAATCAAAATAATTGTTTTGTATGAACGATTTTATGATCGTGGTCAAACTGAGATTTTCAGAATATGTTTTGTACCGTTTTATAATCATGGGTACTTTAAAAAAATAAAATGTTTGACGAAACAAATGAATTTGTATTTATTTTTTGTTTGGTAATATGTAATACTGCGATATAAAAATATCCCTAGATCCCTTAGGAAAAAAAAAAAATAAATAAAATAAAAACAATTTATTGACTTTTTATTAATACAACGACTCAGCAAAATATTTGATTGTATAATAATGATGATTTTTACGTGAACAGCTGTGTGGTCGTGGTTAAACTGTGATTTCTAGAACAATACTATTTAAAATGCTGTGATTTGTTCAACGATTGTTGTACACATCGCGAATTGTACAATGTAATTTTTACAATCTAATTACTTTGTGCAATTCCGGACTTTGTACGAAACACATAGACATTATGGAAATCGCAGGCGGTCGGCACGCGATTCAGATGTGCTCGCGAAAAACCCGAGACTCAATAATTATAGCCTTATACCTTTTCGTGCATTTTCCACTTGGGGCGCAACTAGGCGTCATGCGTTTAAGTGAACCATCTTTTTTCACACAAATTTTCCCATCCGACAAGCTTTGATCAGCAGCTCGTATAAAAGATAAAATTGTAATACAACAAATGCTAAAAATGTCGTAGAATATCTGCGTTCATAATGTTTCGCATTTGTTTCTTCTGTATCATCAAACAGGCGAGACAGCGAAAATTGCGATTTTCTTGTGAGTAATTGTATAATTGTATTGATCTAAACCAAATAATTATAGTTTTTCAAATATCGAGTTCGACCGAACATCGGAAACGTGAACTATAGTGTTTTGGTTATTAGAATTCAATACTAATTCATAGTTATTAGTTATTACGAAACGAGTATACGGTACACCAAATATGGATCATACAATTGAAAACGCGTTTACTACTACACGAATAAACAATGCATTTCGATTGAAAATGTTTAGTCATACTCGTGGACAAACAGTCCAAAGTCTATCGAAATTAGAGGGAAAATGGATTGTTATATAGGTCACCCGAACACATTACAGTAGTTCATAATCACTCGCCCAAACGCATTGTGAAAAGTTGCCCAAACGCAATGTATTTTTTACAAGCTTACCCAAACACAAACAGCCCACGAAACTTGTACGCAGTGATGGTTTTGCACGGAGCTCGGCAAACGGGTCAGGTTATGAGAATTTCCTTATTAATAAGACCTGGGATTGTACGCATTTGCATATTTTAGATTCCATGCGAAGCGAGAAATGTATAAATTGGTTTTACAATGATGTTTATTTTTTTTTTATCTATAAACATCTTTTCTACCAGAAATCTCATTTCGATTTTCAACAGTAGTAACTTTTCTGAAAGTAAATTGTATCTACTTGGTACTTATATGAAGTAATATTTTTGATTTTCAAAGTGGTTTTCATAATAATTGGGCATAAACGTAGGAACTACAAGAAAATTTACGAAATATATTATTTTCACTTTTTGTTTTTTTGTTGTAATTCAACTAAAAATGTTCGTAGAAACTTAAAATTAGAACAGAAAACTTATATTAATTTTTTCTAGACGTGGTGATATTTTAAAAACATTTTTTCGATTTTCGAGCTGTTTAGAGGAGTGTTTGGGTTACAATCTATTCGGCTCTCATCTATTGTTTGTTTTATCCCGAACGGCTCCCATCGAAAAAGGTTTTATCACGAGTACACAAATTCCCAAACGGCTCCGTTATTCGGTACTACGCGTACATTTCTCATAACAAAATAAGTAAAGATGCGACGCAGAAAACATTCGTGTCATATCTTACTTTTTACGATAACAAGTTCTATTGAATCTATTCAAACTTGCAGTTTGGATTTTACGTTTCAAATATTTTATGCCTGTATGTATATTACATTATACGCCTATATGTTGTTAAACGAATTGTATCTAGTTTATCGAATTTTATCAATTTTGTGTACACAATTCAACCGGATATGCGATGTGGATATGGCGCACAATCGTGTCAGCTTGTGTAGTTTGTTCGGACTTCGATCTGTTCACGATATCCGCCGCCTTTGAGTGCGCTCGTTGATTATTATATTTATTTATTGCGTTTTAAATCCAAGATGTCAAGTGAAACGTGTAAAAAAAAAAAAAAAATGATAGAAAATTTTTCATTTTCTTTTCATAAAAGAAAAACGAGCTGACGACGTGAAGCGCTGTAAATGTACAACAAAAGTCTGTATAAAATGGGAAGACCGAAGAAATGTAGGTGTTGTGAAAAACCGAAGCCGTTTGGGAATTTTCCTTTTTGTAAAACTAGAGCTCAACGGGCTACGTCCATTTAGAGACATTTTAACTCTGCGAATTTCTCACGTAATTTTTATTCGGTAGGTACTCTGTAGATAAAATTGTTAGTCCACACGGAAATATTTAAACATTTATCAGGTTCATTATAAGTCGTACTCTATGGTAAAAAAAAAAAAATATTAGTGAGTGTAATGTAGAATTTTTTTCATACGAAATATATTAGTAAAATATTACACATTTTTTTTCTGTGGACAACTTTTCTACCAACAATTTCTCTCCGATTTACAATGATAGCACTTTTTCTGAAAGAAAATCTGACTAGAAAGGTTTTATAATGGGGTCATTTTTCGATTTTTCCCAAGAGTTTTCCCAGAAAATGTGAAAACTAGGAGAAAACACGGGAAAACCATAGGAAAAGTAGGAAAATCCGTACATTTTAAACAAACTAAAGAAAATATATGCCCATTTAATTATTTTACCATAATATGATATAAATATAATGTCGAAAAAACATCATTATCAACCGAACTTCGCTCAGAATCGTTTTTTCGTTAGCAATGGTTTAACGTAGCTTATAGATATACATTAAATTCTCTTTGGCATCCAACATTACAAACTTTCGACCTACAACAGTGGCTGCACCTACGTGCGAAGTATGTCAGTCTTTTCTTTTATTCGATAAAATATTAACATAAATTATAAATCCTACAGATCTTAAAATTGCTGAAAAAAAAAATTCAAGAAAGTTGGCGCGTAACGAACGAAGGTTTCGACGAAAATTATTTCGAAACAGTTATTGCGACGATATTATACGGATTGTCACGCACGACTACTACGGAACGCAAAAGTGATACGATACGCACTTGACCGGTTATTTTAGATCGCGAATGCGCAGAGTGGAATGCACCTACTTGTTTTTTTTTTCATACTACGGTGTGGTGTTTTGTTTCCGGTCCGCGAAAAACTCGACTACCAGAAATCGTGTTCCGGTCTTCTAGTGTAGGTAGTGTATACGCATTTCCACCTATTTATTTTGTAGCGGTCTTTCCGAAACGAAATTTCGTCTGTAATCCGTGTGTGTTGGTTGGCGCGTTGAACCGTTGAAGCGGTCGGGGTTTTACGTTTTCCCGTGTAGTTTATTGTGATTAATTTTTTTTTTTTATCGTAAAAAACCGCCGGAAATACTGAAAAATACGCGACAACGGTTACAACTTGCGACTGTCGAAACAATTCGAAACAACTCTACAGAATTAGCGACGGTGTTAAATAGAATCAAACGAATTAAATTATAATTAAATTATTTTTGATTTTTAAGAGGGGAAACATTCTACACACCGCGTTGTTCAATATTTTATTCTCGACATTTAAAATAATGAGTGCAGCTAACATACCAATAATTTTCATTTTTCCATTATTTGAAAACGGAATTTAAAAAGACGGATATACTTCGCACGATGAGTGGGCTGCACTCACTGTAGTACTTAGATGAGATGCTGGGCGGGCAGGACGCAGAAAGGAACTTAATGCACATCTGTTAGCAACGATAAACCATTGCCAACGAAGAAAAACGATTTTGAACGGAGTTCAGTTGATAGTGATGCTTTGTCATCGCTATAATATTATGTGATATTATGGTAATAAAATAATTAAACGGGCGTTATATATTTTCTTCAATGATGTTAATTGTTTAATATTGTACCGGTTTTCTCGGGTTTTCACATTTGCTGGGAAAACACTTGGGAAAATCGAAAAGTGACAACCCTAAAACACCTCCCCGGTCCGGTTTCCTTTCAGAAAAGGCGATACCCTTAAAAATCGGAGCAAGATTTCGGGTAGAAAAGTTGTCCACAGATAGAAAAAAAAAAAATAAATAAATAACAAACATCTTTGTAAAACCATGGGCTCCACTCAGAATCTAAAGTCGGCGTTCGACACGGCCTACAGAGAATGTTGTTTATCAATGAAAAAAAAAAAAAAAAATCAAAATGTAACAATAACAATTTGAACGGCCGTCACGGGTTTTTTGTTTTTTTTTAGACGAGCCGCCTCCGGGAAACTTTCTGACGTCCCGTCGGAATATTATTTTTATTATTGTGCGGGTGCCGACGCGGCCGGCGGCGTAGAGCGGGACAAGGTGTCTCGTTTCGCCGCTTAGGGACTGTGGAAAATCCGCGCGCTTGCGCACCCGCCGCGCAGTCTCGCGTAAAAAATCGCGAGGCGCACTAGCCGACGTTGCGTATGTGTGTGTCAGCGTTTTCGTTGCGCGCGCGTGCGTGCGAAAGTGCTCGCGCGTGGCGCGTCACCCGAACGCGGACGGGCCCGTCCGCTATCTCTCTCCCGCCGACCGCGCAGTCCGTCGCTGTTCTCGCTACGGTAGACAGCGCACACGTACGTCGCCGTCCGTCGTAGTACTATAAAATTACGCCGCCGCCGCCGCCGCAAATCCCGTTGGAATTGCCCCCCTCGCGACGCCGCCCCCCCGTGGCCCGCGTTCCCGTTCGTCCGCCGCCGCCGCCGCAACGCGACCCACCGGTGTGCGCCGTACGCGCCACACGTTCGTCCCGCGGGCCGCGCCGCAGTAGCGTTCTGGACACTGGCAGTCGGCGTTCCTGCGCCACTCCGCAACGCCGCCTTGTACGTCCCGCTCAGGTGGTCGTAGTACGTACGATACGCCGCGCGTAACCGGAATATACGTGGGGTACGACCGCGCCGCTCGAACGGTCGGCAGTCGTCGTCGAATCGCCGTCACGTCACTTACCGACCGGTTTTGCAACGGCTCTCACCGATGGCCGTGCGTAGTCCTAGTAAAAATGTAAGTAATATTGTCAGCGGTATTATTTTCGTCGTTTCACACTATTTGTCCGTTCGGTATTAAAAAAACAAAGAAAAAAAAAACACCTTAATATTTTATTTTTTTGACGTGTGTGTTGTACTTAATACGTTATAGAAAAAAAAAAAAAAAAAAACAAAAACAATTACTCGGACAGTCAATTTTCCCGTGGAATTTTACGAAGTGATAATATCGTTTTAGTAGGTATGTATTCACCTATGTCGTCATCCGACGGATAGAAAAATCCGCGGGTTTTCGTGTGCACTTCTCGCGAGAAGCAATGCCAACTAAATTCCCCCTACTCCCCACCGTTCTGGCGGAGGCTATTTATTGAGGGGAAAACAAAAAACGTAAAAGAATCCAGTCGATTGTCACCGTTTAAATTTCACTCCATTGGCCCGTATCTAATTCGCTTTCACCGTTTTGTCAAACGTACAGAACCAAACTATTCGACCGAATTGTATTGTAATAATTTCCCATCGGCAATAATTGTGGTTTTCATAAATTTCTCTTACCTACGTTTGTGTTTAACTGGTTCAACATTCTAAACGTAATATTACGTCCAATTCGTCTATATTTTTAATACAAATATTGATATATCTATCATTGTTGATAATAATAATGTACCCATTGATGTAATGTTGATATGCTTTTTACGATATGATAAGACAATAAGATAATTATATTTATTTTGATAATAATTATTACCTGTCAGTTAAAAAAATTAATATGCTTTTTATGAGTTGTAGTCTAGAAATGTCAACAATTTAAACTCCATATCTTACATAAATAGTATACACTTAAGTTTGCTTAATATCAAATTTAAAATATCTACCCTTACAACTACATTTAAATTCATCATATTGTCTATGAGTACTGAATATTATAATCTTATAATTGTATTTTCTAATGCCTAATCAAAAATTTTTTATCCAGGCCTGTGGTTGTGAGCAGACAAGCCTACATTTACACGTAGAGATTGAAAATTTAAAACAAAAATTATTAGAAAAGGAAAATCATATTGTCAATATGGAGACAAATTTTCTTTGTGAAGCGGAAAAATTTCCACACGGCGAATACGCTGCATTAACTGATGAAATATTGATATGGCAAGACAAATATTCTAGGCAAGTCATTTTTTTGTTTTAAATTAATTATATTTTGTTTGTAATCATGTAAATATCTCATAATACTGATTAGCGGTTCCAATCATTTAATAATGAAAACAATAGTTAAACGTTTTAATATATTGAGTTTAAATTCTGTAGGTTATTGGAATCTCATAAAAGAGTACAGCGTGTAAACCAAAGTCTCGAAGATAAATTATTATTACTCGTTGATAAAACTGAAACAGAAAAGAATTTATTAAATTCAGAAATCACTACACTGTCTCAAAAAATTTTAGATCAACAATTAAAAATTAATCAATTAAACGATGAAAATGTGAGTTACTTACACCCAATTCAATATTTATTATAACTTGATATATTATGTAAATAAGTTTTTTTTTCTAAATTATTTTACACTTGCGCATACATATTTAATTATCATTTTTGATGTTCAGGAAAGGTATAAGAATGATCTTAATATTGCCATTCAATTACTCCAGTGTAAGCCCTCTCATTTTGTGTCTCAAAAATATGATAGTGTAAGTGATGTTGATAACACGCCATCGATTGTTGTGGAATATCACAAATCATAATGTATTTATTTTTTTTTTATTTATAGTTACCAAGTGAATTACAATCCAAAGTCCAAAATTACATGTTTAACAAACAGCGAAGATTATCAGATGGAAATGGTAACCTAGCACAAAAATCTGATGGAAAAACTATAAAAGTACCAATTCCTACATTTCCACCAACAGCCATGGTATATTCGTTGAATAATGGTAATTTTTAAGTTTACTTTGTATGATTAATATAAAACGCAATAAAATATTATGATAATTAAAGTGAATATTTTAACAAACTAAATATAGTTATTATATGCTGAAACAATTAATATAAAATATATTAATTTTTAACTCCTATAATATTATATGGTGATTACGACTCACTGAAATACTATATCGGAAGTTCAATGATATGTACAAAATTAAATTGGAAGTTGATTTCATGAATATATAATATACATCATTACAAAGTTTATATTATTACATATTATTTTGTAATGCTGTATAAAACTTTATATAATGTTATACATATAATATATATATATTTGTGTATGTGTGTGTGTGTGTGTGTGTGTGTGTGTGTACTTATTTATTTTCTGATGCTAAAATAAAATAATGAACGAGTGCATTGGATTATACTAGTCTATTCTCGGTATGTTACCATAAAGTTTATTGTATTTACTTCCTGATCACTTATATTAATATTAGCATTATATCCTATTATTTTGTTTTATCCTATGTATTTGATAAGGTGATTATTATTATAGAAAAATAGAAAAGCACAATAATATTATACTTTCATACATCAAATTATCATATTGTATATGTTAGTACATTTACTTTTTGCACTATCTATTCTGAACAGCAAACAAACACAGCATTATGTCAACACTTACACAACATATGTGTGCATGAATAATTGAAATGTATTTTTCTTATTTTAGATAGAGATACAAAGTCGAGAGATGTTGAAGATGGGTCCTTGATGCAACCTATTACAAATGTTTCTGCAGCTATCTTGGCTAAAGTTTTAGAAGAAAGAGTGAAAGAACGATTAACCCAGCGTCACTGTTTTACTTGCTCTTGTACTATTAAAAACACTGATCAACATGAATATCCTTCATCACAAACCGATTCCTCTGAGAAACGAGCGCGGTCTCTTAACAAATATAGTAAACGACCTGTTACTACTACTAAAAGTTCAGAATCCCTATCCTCTGAATCTGATCTGGCATCATATTTTGATACCACAACATCTATTACAGAATCCTCTGATAATGGCCCAAAGTTATCGGCTAGATCTAGACTTTGTTCTGTACGCTTGCAAGAAGGCAGCAATAATATATTATTGGAAAACTGTGGTATGCCATACACAGGGCCGGTCCTTTATAGGAGTATTTCTTCAAGTATGGAATATGATGAACCTTTAATACATTCACAAAAGTCAATAGACCGCAATACGCATCCTAATGAACAAACCCGTATATTACTTTCAGATGAAGAAATAATTTAAAAAGATTTTTGATCTATAAGAATAATATAAATGGAAGTGATGCTGACAATAATTCTGTTAGATTATTGGCAAACTAGTGTATTTTGATTTATAATCTAATTAAAATTTGTGTAGCTACCTATATAGTTGTGTTATATATTGTATGAAAAATATGTGTGCATAATTTTTCAATTTACATACTATAAGGTAAAAAATATTTTAACAAGAGACAAAAGTAAATTTATATTTTATTATTATTATATAAATAACAGAAATTTTGGTTATTAATTATTTTTTCATCCAGTTAACAAATAAAAAAAATTATGTCAAAACTTGTTAAGCTATAATAAATATAATGTAACCAGTGGCATGCACAAAGGGGGAGGTTAAGGGTCATATCCACCCCACTCATTGGCTTTTTAATATAACAAAATATTTATTTAGAAATGTATATATTTCAGCTGAGTTACAAGAAAATGCTTGATTTATTAATTAAAAATTGGTTTTTTTAAACCACTTGTAAATTCCCATTGTAATTGAATAAAGAAGATTCTGAGATTTATTTACCTATAATTAATATTTACTATTGAAAATGCCTGAGCAGCCACTGAATTTAACTCTCAGTTACTTTTTATTAAGTTCCATAAATAACATTATTATAGTTTACTTGAAATTATACAAGGATATTTTCCATGATAAAAATTGAAATATTATTATATTAAGTACTATTAGTCACATTATTTTAGTGATTGACTACTAAAACTAAAATTTTTTTGTTAACATAACATTTTTTATTGGCAGATTAATTTTGTATTATGACTTGGAAAAATCGATTTACAGGTACTTATTGACCAGACAACATTGTATTTTAAACCTTATTGGTTTGGTGATTTTAAAATAAACTAAAAATGATTCTATCTATATTTTATTTATTTAAATGATATATAATATATTATATGTATGCTGCGATTTTTGTATATGACATTAAAGTGATTCATTTAACAGAATAAAAAACAAATTTAATTATATTTATTACTGACAATAATACATAAATATGAACTTGATGTAAAGACTGTGATACAAATTATTATCCTATCCTATCTTGTAGATCCATTCAGGGTAGATAATTCCACAATAAATATAAATAACTATCTTTATCTATGGATTATACTAACAAATTATAATTAGGGCCCCAGGTTTATATGAATTTTAAATTCACAAATATCACTTTAAAAAATAAAAAAAAAAAGTGGATAGCCGGACATAGAAGTTTCTCCTTCTAATGGTTATAACCCTATTAAATCATATTGTTTAACACTTCAAAAATGATTAACACTGTGATTTTTTCACATTTATGGAGGTTATAAACCTATTTCCCTTTTTTTTTTATTATTTATTAAAAGGTACATAATCTGTTACACAAACCTAATAAGGCACAATAAGTATATGTGATACAGGTTGTTAACATAAAACATAGAAAAAATATAGATTCAGTATTATCATATTTAATTACATGGAGTCTTTAAGATGAGTAGCCATCCACTAATGTCACTCAAGGCTTAAACTTAAAATTTACTGATACAAGTTTTTTTTTTGTTTAATGAAGATCATTACTAAGAGTGATCCTCAGTGGGGAGGGGGATAAGAAGTCCATGCATCATCATTAAGACATCTAGACGGGTTGTCAAGAATAGTTAGGACTGCAAGATTATTAATTAAAGGGTTAAGATTCGAGGATAAAAAGTTGTGAAAACGTTTATAATGAAGTTTAACTTCTTCTTGGACTGTTTTAATTTTAATATCAGAGTGAACGGTATCTTTTGAAACTTAAGAGGGAGCATTTAAAATTTTTCTATGTACTATGTTTTGGAAAGTTTGGATTTTATTTATGTTAGATTTTTTAGCATTACCCCATAATTGAATGTTGTACATCCAGATTGGCTTAATTAGAGAATTGTAGAAAAGAAGCTTGGTGTTAATGTGTGTGAAATTATTGTTAATTATGTAAGATTTTAGTGATTGCAATCGAGCGTTCAAACTGAAGCATTTAGTTCTTAAGTGCTGAGACCAGGTAATTCGGCTATCGAATATCTTGGGTTAACCCAAGATATTTAACTGATGGTAAAATAGGGATTTGAGTATTGTAGATAGTTACAGGAGGGCAGGGAGCAGGTCTGAGAGTTAATGTGGTGTGAACAGACTTAGATTGATTGACTTTAAGCCTCCATTTTGTGTACCAGTGTTTCATGAGATTAAGATGATTTTGAGGCAATGAAGCTGTCAAGATGAGTGGAAATAATAGCTTTGTCATCAGCATAGTCATAGTTTGTCACCACGGTGAATGGCGTTGTAGGTTTATCAGATACATAAATGTTGTACAATATAGGAGAGAATTCCACATTGGGGAATACCAGGAAGGATTTTGCTTACACTAGAAAGAGCTTCACCAAAAAGAAATCTATTTCCTAATTATAATTGATTGCACAACTAGCTCAAATATTTTGTGGAGGCTGAAGTTTCATAAATAAGAGATTTTTTACCACTTGAAGTCCAAATTTACTGCTTCAAATATGTTAAAATAAGTATTACCTACTGGTATAATAATGTAAAATATTTGAAATGTCTCTTAATATTTAGTAATGAAAGAGAACCGAATCTGTCTTGAGCCACAGAAATTCTCAACATGACAATTTCTATAAAATAAGTTATCAAAATGATATATATATAATTATTAAATTAGTTCCTATTTACTTATGAAGTAAAATATGTAACAAAGCTAACCTCATAATGTTTGCTCTCTTCATAATTTAATTTGAATAAATTTTCAATTGAAATTGCTAATTTCATATTTTCTTCAGAAAACTGGTCTGTCATATTACTAATGACATTGTCAATCACATGATAATAGGCATTTTGACACAAATATTCTTTAGAAGATAAGTTTATATCACTATTTGTAAATTCAGCTAATAATATTATTTGTTTTTGTTTTAAAAATATCAAAATACTTTCTACTTATGTGTATTGGAAGCGCAATCCGAAATAAATAAATTGTAAACCAAATAAACTAGTAGTACATGTAACGTAATAATACACTCTTCAGTTTTAAAATTTAGTTGCCTTATCATAATATGTAGTAACACGGTGATAGTGGAATAACACCTTCAATAGATTATTAACTGTGGTTACTGGTTATATTTAAACGTGATTATAATTCCAAACGCTTAAATGTGATAATTGAATTTTAAAACTATAATATTTTTACTTTCACCTATAAAACAAAGATAATTTTTTCCAAAAAAATTTTACAAAGTTCTTTTAGCAAATATATTTGATGGTAATTAGGTTAATAGATTATAAAAAAAAAAAATCAATGTAAATTGGAAGGACTTAGTCCCCACCCTATCTGCAACTATGCAATTGATCAAGTTTTTAGTGTTTAAGGTAATAAGCAATCAAAAACTGTAATTTTGGTTTGTTGAATCTCAAAATTGTATAAACTACACTAAGCTTTGTCACTCTAATCTTTAGTTTTTAAACATATTTGAATAAGATCAATATGTCAACATAATGATTCAGTAAAATACATTTTTATTGTACTAAAAATATTTACAAAAATAAAATAAAATACTAGTGTCATTAAGGTTATGCACTAAACATTTTTAAAGTAATAATTTATGATAAAAAAATGGAGTCCCTGCACCAGAAAATCTATTTGACAGCTAGTTAAATGAATCTTTTTATTTTGATATTTCCAAACATTCCAAGAATACAAGATAATACAATAAATTCAAAAGGTACAATAAAAACAAACATTTAAATTTAAAAATGTTCATCTATATTTTATTACGTAGTTATTTTCATTGATTTCTAAATATTATAAAATCAATGGTAGTTTTAAATTAAATTATTTGTAGATTTACAAAAAAAAAAAAAAAAAAAAAAACAAACAAACAAAAATGAAGAATAAATGACTACATTGATTAAACATATTTTAATTACATAGTGCCAATATGTTTCATTTAATTGAAACTTACAGATAGATTACTTAAATTCATTGACATGTACAAATTAAAACAATTATTATTATTTCCATGATTACTTCGTGCCGACTAAATGTATGCAAACAAGAACAAAACAAAAGATGAACAATGAAGAACCCAAAATATGCATAAATATATTATCTATATATAGGTACCTATATTTTATGCAGAAATTAGTTATTTTGCCTAATAGAAAGGCAATTTAATTAACTAAGTATTTTATGTTTAAAAAATTTATAAAATATTTTATTATCAACAATAATATTGAAAAAAATGTATACATATTGTAAGTACATAACTGTTGATTGTAATATTGTATTAGCTAGATTAATGCTATACAATTTATAACTTAATAATCTTGCCTATAACTTTGAATGATAAAAATAAAATTTGCTTCTAATGTGATATGATTATAATAAAAACAACTTTTTCTTTTTTCTTTAACACATTCAACAGTACAATAGTATTATTGCTATCCTTGATGCTATGATGGACAAATATTTGAGCCACAACTAGGACATCTAAGGACATACATACCCTAATACTTCATAGTGTTGAATGTGTTAATAATCAATAGTAACAATTAACATAAAATAGATAAACAATTTATAAATAACTTGAGTTTGTTTATGAAAATTATTTCCAAAAACATTTAAAGATAATAAATGTGTATAATAGTAAATAATAATATCACTTTAAGGAATCAATAAATTGTCTAGTATAAATAAAAAATATAACCATAAATATTTAAATAATGTATAAACTATGAATAAAATTATTTTTATATAATTTTCAAAATTTAAATATATATTATTTAGTTTCAATAAATATTTGAGTAAAGTAGGTAATACAAATTGGTTACATATAGATAACGTGATTAGGTTGTTTAAATTGTACTAAGTTATGACAGGACTATTATATGATTTTATCAAACTAATCCAAATAGAAAATAGTACACATTTATTTAATGAAATCATAATATTGATTATGAAATTACCTCCACGTTAAGAGTAGATGATCTTGTTTCTTCGTTGTTGATCATATCAAGACTAGTTTTCAAAATGTCTATCTGATGCTAAACAAAATTTAAAAAATTATATTAATTAAATCAATATAGTTGAATATTATAATAAAAAATAATATTGTGTACAATTATATTTATGCTAATAAATAATATTAAATAAATCGACTAAGATCTGCAAAAAGATTGTTTTAAATAAAAATTATTTATAAACGTTTTGCAATTTTAATTGAAAATCCATTAGCCAATGGTTTGATTTAATACAACATTACTAAAATATTATATTAATATAAATATTAAATTATTATGTTACAAAAATATTCAAATTTTGATTAAAAATAAATCTTATAATACAGATATACTATACAGTATAGTACAATGAATAAAAACCAATAAAACTGACAATAAATACTTATGGAAAATACAATATAACATTTTGAACATCAAATCAAAATGTAACACTTTGAATTGTTAAAAAAAAAATATATAAATTTTGAAATTACTTGTGCGTGTTTAATCTCCCATTCTGCTAGTTCCAATAAATTTTTATTGAAAGTCGAAACTCTTCTGGCTTTAAAATCAATTAATTCTGAAATATAATATTCTAACTCAGTAAAAGATTTGTTTTATTAATAAAAATAATTATATAATTTCAACCTTCTTTTCCTTTATCAGACATAACTTCAAATTTTTCACATGATAACTGTTGAGCAGTCTCGGCCTAAAACATACAAAATGTATATTTAAAACACAGAAAATAAATAAAAATGTGTTTTATTAAACCTACATAATTACAATGCAATAAGATTTCAAGTACAGATAATTTATTTTGTTTTGAAACATTTGACTCAATCATATAATTCAGAAAAAAATAAAATATATAAATATATTTCATTAAGAGAAATGTAATTTCGCATAACAAATTGTAACAAATATTTTATATCATCATAGTACTTACATCATAAACTTCTTGAGCCTTGTTAATCAAGTTAACGAAATAAAAAAAATGTGTAATAAATTATATTGATACATATATGTCAGGCAATTCAAGAAATTAGTCTATTAGCAAAAAACACCCATGCACTTTGCTCAGACCAATTTCTCAAACAAACCCACAACATACATTCATACAAAAAATATATTACTCACTGCGTGAACATCTTTATTTTTGGACCTAGCTTTTTCAAGATTTCGATTTGCTGCTTCATAGTTTGCTAAACACCGTAATCTTCTATATAATAAACGTTTAGCAGCGAAAGAATCACCTACATAGTAGCGCAATGTATCTGAAAGCTTAAGGTCTACATCAGATGCTATTCTGCCTTCCACTTTCTAAAAAATAATGGCATTAACTAATGAATAAATATACATTAGATACTTTTTTTTATTAATTTATAATATTTAATAACATTTGATGTTAGCTATAGTAAAAATAAATTATAAAATTTACCCGAAGTTTTTCCAATGTTTCAGAAAATCTGTTCAAGAACCAGTCCAGTTCTCGGTGATCAAATGTTGATAATTGAATTAAACATGATGATATTTTTATATAACTGTCAGAGACATCTGTTTAGTATAATTAAAATATTTGTAATTAATTTTAAAATAATTGATCAGAATCAATTTTAAAGCTAGATTTATTCCAAAAGTCGATTAAATTATTACTTTAATAACAAAACCATAATCTATTATCAGAGATAAAAGCCATAAGAAAAATTTAAGATTTTCTTTCATAAACACCAGTAAAGAATTTGATTAATCTAAAATTATAGGCAATAGTTTATTGTAAATAAGGAATTCAATTTCTGAATTAGTTAATTAATTTATAATTAACAGGAGGAACAAAAGTGTAGTAGTTGGTCCAAAAGGAATATTAATATTATAGGTACAATAACCACAAAAATATTTTACAAACAATTAAGAAGAATACACAAGTACAATAAAATATTAAAAATAACTTAAAATGGAGGGGATCTTATAACCAAGACTCATTAGTTTGAAAAGTGGACTAAATCCTGCATAGTTGGTGTTGCAATTAAGAATGTAAAAATAAGTAGTAGTAATATTAGTATGCAGTGGCACACAACAATTAATCTGAGACAGTAATTGAGAGGAATCAATATGACCATTTATTAGGTTCAGTAAAAAGAGCAAATTAATCTGGACCCCGAGATCAGAAAGAAGACTGACATATTCTCAATCACTCTGATTTATTTTAATAATTAAATTTCAGTGAATCTGTTGGAAGTTTATGATTCAGCAATTTTAAAATAATTGGTAATAATTAATACAGCATAAATTCATGTCTAACTTTAGTTTATAAACAAAAAGATACAATTTAATCCTATAAAAATACCTAATTTCATGTTATAGCAAATCAAATACTTAATACCTTTATTTAAATTCTCAACATTACTATACATTATTATCTCATGCATTAATATATAGTCTAAAAATAACTAGGCTGTTACAACTAGGCTCAGGGCAATAGCAGATTTTCAACATTTTTTTGGGAGGGGTCCAAAATCATAAAATGTATTTAAAAGGTATCTGTTAGTGATGCCTCTTTTTTAGATGACATTTATTGAAATTATATCAATGTCTAGGGAAGGTCCAGACCTCCTGGACCTCTCTCCTAAAACCGCCACTGACTTAGAGACTTCTAGTTCTAAAAAACATGCAAATATGTTTTAAAAAAAAAATCCAAATATACATTTAAGTATGCTCTACAAAATTACAAATATAATAAAAAATTTTCTTAGTCACTTTATTAAGGGAAATATCAAAAACTAACTATTTTATGATGTAGACTATGCTATAGCGCATCTGTGAGTATAAATTTGAACAATGTAAATCAAAAAACACATGTATATAATACATATGAATTGAGCCTTACAGACTGAGAAATTTAATATATATGATATTTCATAGCGCTTAGGATGTTCCTGGCCATGGAGTCTTAATCTGGTACCCAATATCATATTCCCAGCATTTAAATAAATTATTATCCTATTTTTTATTAAATAATGTACCCATAAAACCCCTACTTATAAACTAAATTATGCTAAAATATGCTCTACAAAGCAATATAATTCCAAAATAAACTTTAACTAGCAAAATATGAGAACAAATCTTGTTTACTACCCAAGCTCAGTTTTCAATTTTTTTTTCAAAATGTGTGTTTTTATATGTACATTAGGAGAATCTAAAAAAAAGTAAGACAAACTTCGTTTAGAATTTAAGGAGGAAAACTTCATAAAGTTCGAGTTTTCTGTTTCGCGTATTTCTTAGTTAGAATTTAAAATTAAAAAATTTTTTTTTTATAAAATGTGTTTTTAAATGCTTAATCCATTGGTATAATCAAATCTTATCAATCAGATTTACTTTTATGGCTATTGTGCATAAAATTTGAAAAATAGCATTTTGGTAATTAATTAAAAATGTCGTAAAAAATGTACATTTTTTTTTTTTTATTGAAGTCAAAATAAGTCTATCTGACTTAGATTTATAGTTACAAATGATCAAACATGCCGTGTTTGGCTGCGCCCACTCGGACAATTTTAATCAAAAATAACCCTCGATTTGTTATTCAAAACTAGGACAAGTAGGTAACAATGTAAAGTGAAAACCTATTATAGGTGGGTAGGTTTATGTAAAATAACTATAAAAGTAATTATGATAGGTAAGGTTTGATTATATCAATAGATTAAGCATTAAAAAACACACATTTAAAAAAAAAATTAAAATGTTAAATTCTAACTAAGAAATACGCGAATTGAAAAACCTAAACTTCATGAAGTTTTCCTCCATAACTTCCAAATAAACGTCGTAATTTCGCTAATATTTCGGGGGCGCGGAGCTTACGTTTACGTACCTAAGTAATAGAGTGCCTGATAAACAATTAATTAAAAAAAAATCCAGAAGAACCGCATTTAAAACAATAAATATTAACGTGAATCGTTCGTGTGTAAAACGGCTCACGGGGACTACACATTATGGCCATTGGGCAACGGNAAAATATATTAACAGATCAATAAAGCTAGACGGGGCTTAAAAGTCCTCCGAAGCAGAACCACTCTACCGCTTTTACTTTTTTAACGATTTAAGCGCTTTTTTGCTGTTCATAAGTGCATACTGCTCAATATAAATCCGTTCACTAATGATTATTATTGATAGCATAGCAACAATTTTTGCCATCACGTATTAACGTAGTATCCCCATTAACCTATGTCGTGGTATCACAATCACCATTTACAATCGGTGAATAAAACTTGCACGAAAAATCATGAAAGACATTTTCGAAAACCCGACGCGGTGGCTCATTGAAAAATTTCACACGAAATAAAATACTACCCGAGGTGGTTTCCATAATAAATTAAGGTACTTATTTTCGATTAAGTTGGTCAGACTTTTTTTTTAGATTCTTAGTGTACAGACAAAAACACAAATTTTGAAAAAAAAATAATATAAAAACTAGCTGGAGTCGTAAACTAGATTTATACCAAAACAATATTAAATTATGCAAAATAGAATCTACAATTAATATTCCTTACATCACGAACAGTATTTATATTTGACTGCTATTTTTTCAATCTTTCAAAAAAAATATGAAAGTGCTAGAAGTCCCTAATCCTAAAAATTAAAAAAAAATGTCAAGAATTTCAAAGTAAAACAAATCACAAACCTTTGTGCTTGTTAACCATTTTGTCAGATTTTATGGTTGCATCTTTTAAATGTCCATAATAATCTATAAGGAAATTCTTTTCTTGTTCAAAAAAATCATTGACATCTCTAACAGTCGCAGATAAAAGGTATTCATCGGTTGTCTTGGACAATGTTTTCATGATTTCCTTAAGTTAATAAAATTACAAATTATATTTATGTAAAAAGATAGTTTTAATATTAATGTTTACCTCAAAAAGTTCTTTTTTGTTTTTAGTACGAACTGACAAATCTTGGTCGTATTCTAAAAATACTCGAAAATTTGTATCATAACGAAATACAGGGTGCTGAGCAAGTCTTGATAGGAACATTTCATGCATAGCAACTGTTTTTTTAAATGTAGCTAAATACTCACTAAAAACACAAATAAATTTAAAAAATCTGTATTCTGTATGAAAACATAGAAGGTAGGCTATTCAAATAAATTGTTTTATTTACGCTTCCAATTCTTTTTTCATTTTTAAAAATTCTTCTTTTGTAACCGATCCCTCACCATCGCCAAGTCTTTGTAATTTTTCTCGTGATGAATCAAAGTCTGGCCGAGGCGGAGCTGGCGGTATCTAGAGAATATAAATAAAAAGTAATTAGTATAATAACCACAAGTATCATGACACAAAATTGCATTAAAAGTATTCCTTATTATTCATTGCTATAATTAAGTATGCAAATTAATACATTTACATAATATACATATATATTTCTATACTAACTATGTAACCGGCATAATCTTCGTTTTCTTCAAACTGGTCATGTAGCCAGATGAATTCTTCGTGCTGTCGTACAACCGAAAATTCAGATCTTTGGAAATCCGGCAGTGTAGTCTAAACCACAATTATAATTTAGTTATTATTAACGATTACATTTACACGGGTCACCCCTTTCACCTATATACACATCTCACCTTTGACAAAACGGTGAACTTGACTCTGTCCTTCTCACTTAACGCGTCAGAAATAACCACTTGAAGTGAATTATCACTCAAATCCACATTTTCAGAATTACTACCCTGTTGATGGAAAATACAAATTTGTACACATTAACAAATTGAAAAACGTACGCAAGGTATAAAATGTGAAAACTAAGTACTTCATTTAAAGTATCTTCGTTTACCAAATCACTCTGAGAGTTGTTGTCTTCCGTGTCGAACTCATCGGACTGGAAAAACGGAAAAACGGAAAAAAAAAAAAAAAAAAACACATAGGTAGTGAAAAGTATATTATTATTATTATTATAATGTGAACAGCTCACGCACACGGCGAGGACAATACCGCGGCTGTTGATACTTACAAGCATTGCGTTCGGATTGTGACGGACACTGGTGTCCGTGGCGTACGCGCAAGACGATCGACGGCCGTCTCGATAACGGCACTGCGACGGTGCGCCGGCGGCGTCCGGATGGCCAAAGTGCGGTCGTGTTACGGACGACGAAAATCGGACCGGAACCGAACGCGCGAGCGGCTGCGGTAGTCAATTATTCGGAAAAACGCCGGTCCCGATCGATCTCCAACGGCATATGACGCATAGGTACGTCTGTGCGTGCGTCGTCAAAAAACTTCTGTTGAAGCGGTCGAACGGTGCACCACTCACGGTATCATAATATAGAATAATTCGCAGTTGTTGTGTTTTTTTTTTTTTCCTACGTTCTCCGCCGCGATACGTTACACGAACGGACGACGTTGTTACGTTAATACTGTTATCCGAACGCGTACCGTGTCCGATATGATAAGAAAAGCGACGGTTTACGCCCACCCTATTGTGCGTGTGCCGCGTACGATATATTTACTGATTCCGCAATTCAGCGGTACGTACCAACGCCTACGCGATATTGTTTTTTTTTTTTTTTCTGTTCTCTATTCCGTCTACAGTGTGAGCGGAGGAAGCGTCGCCTGCCGTCGTCGTCCGGTCGTCCGCGTCGACGCGCAACAGTTCTGCCAACAACCACTACCGCGGGCTCTGTCGATCGTGTCACGGAGACGGCGCGTGTGCCTGCCCATCCATCGCACCTGCGAAATAGTCGAAGGCAGGCGGGTCGGCGGGTGTTTCGATGGGAATATCAAACGGTATTGGCTACCCGCGGCGCGAGAAAACGAGATGGCACGAAATGAACGCGCGAGAAAAAAAATTGAAAAATAATAGGTACGCGGTACCGGTGGTGTGGTGGGGGGTGGGGCGGCGGCAGGACACGTAGCTGCCGGAGGCGCCCGGCGTACATAGGTACAAAGTCGCGCGGACTTTAATCCCGACCGCCGCGGACCTTAGCGAAACCGTGTCTAACTGTATGCGCAATCGGCAATCTTACCCATGATAATGTGCGTAGGTAATATTGTCGAAATTATTATCGGATTGCGCGTGAATGATTACAGGTACGGCTGCCGCACGGGCGTCGTAATTTCGCTAAAAAACACACATTTTGAAAAAAAAAAAAAATTAAAAATGTTAAATTCTAACTAAGAAATACGCGAATTGAAAAACCTAAACTTCATGAAGTTTTCCTCCATAACTTCCAAATAAACGTCGTAATTTCGCTAATATTCCGGGGGCGCGGAGCTTACGTTTACGTACCTAAGTAATAGAGTGCCTGATAAACAATTAATTAAAAAAAAAATCCAGAAGAACCGCGTTTAAAACAATAAATATTAACGTGAATCGTTCGTGTGTAAAACGGCTCACGGGGACTACACATTATGGCCATTGGGCAACGGATTTGTGTGCACTTGAAATCCATAAAAAGCGTTTGAAAACGTCATAAAGGCCTAAAAAAAAAAAAATCACTAAAAATATATTAACAGATCAATAAAGCTAGACGGGGCTTAAAAGTCCTCCGAAGCAGAACCACTCTACCGCTTTTATTTTTTTAACGATTTAAGCGCTTTTGTGCTGTTTATAAGTGCATACTGCTCAATATAAATCCGTTCACTAATGATTATTATTGATAGCATAGCAACAATTTTTGCCATCACGTATTAACGTAGTATCCCCATTAACCTATGTCGTGGTATCACAATCACCATTTACAATCGGTGAATAAAACTTGCACGAAAAATCATGAGAGACGTTTTCGAAAACCCGACGCGGTGGCTCATTGAAAAATTTCACACGAAATAAAATACTACCCGGGGTGGTTTTCCATAACAAATTAAGGTACTTATTTTCGATTAACGGGAGTACAAAATGATAGTGTTGCACCCCACAAAAATTCAATGGGTTGCAAGTGCCCCCCCCTTCGAAATTACGCCCGTGGGTACGAGCCGATTTCGAGATATTCTACTGGATGTTAATAGGGGGGAATAGGGGGAGAGCATAGCGGAGCATTATTCAAAGACCGCGCGGAGCTGATAGTATCGCGATGAATATGTATTCGTGGGACACTCTGTATATAGGTAACGCAATGAAAAAAAATAAAAAAATAAAAAACCCGTTAATCAATTGGCGATGTGTTTATCATTTCGTATTTCGCAATACGTGCGCTGAATTTATAGATACGTATATGACGTTTTCAGAGGCGAAACCATATTATAGAGAGGGCACACGGGTGGGTGAATTTCCCGACTTGCACCTGCAGATACCCGAGTATGGGCAGGTCGCGGCAAAATCGATATGGAAAATAACAATCGAAGAATGCAATTGCCGATTCGCGTTTTCGTACAGAGTCCGGCAATAAACTGTAATATATACACGGTTCCAGTAGTCAAAAATCGAACGTTTACGTTATAATTAGTGTACGTTATTGTGTATACGGAACGACCGATCCTCGACGAGACACTCGTTATCTCGGGAAGTATTATACTATAATATTATTATTTATACTCAACGAACGTGCGGCTCTAAAATGTTACACCATCATATACGTTCACACGTACAGCACCACTGTACAAAACATTGGCATCTAATCTACCCGTTGAAACGCCGCGCAATGTGCCACCACACAAATGTTGCTGCTCTTCTCTCCTCCTATCCACATTTAAAAGTGAAATATCTACAGAAATCAGAAATGTCAACATCAAAACGTATCAATCATACGAATACTACATGTGCGTAAAGGATTTTTAATATATCTGTAAGGTTGAAAATCAAAATTAGGTACTTGGGTACCCAGCCGTTTAATTTGATGCAATAAAAACATATTAACAACGATGATTGTAACGATTCAGAGCCACTCGTTTTCTGAAATTGTCGAAAAAAAATTATTAAGTACCTACTTTCCGAGATAATGCGATTGATCACTCCGTGCGTGTACTTATGCCTACTATAGGTACCTATATAAGCATCGGTTTAAATATTTAATATTTACTTAACACTATACTCGTATTACCGAGCCGTATAGCAAAGGTAAGACGACTGAAGCGCTAAACCTTGACAAAATGTTTAAAAACTAAAAATTCAAATGTGGATATCGTATTTGCTATGCATTATCTCTTTGACTGTAGCTGCATGTGAACGTAGCTTTAGCAAATTCAAACTCAATCTGTATGCGCCATGAGGGGCCATTGAATTCGGCTATTTTATCTATAGAAAACCATGTTGCAGGAGAAATTTATTTTGAGAATTTTATCGATGCATTTTCGGCAATCAAATCGAGAAAAGTACGATAATTGTGACTCTGAAAAACGTATTACCTACCTATGTTTTTCGCACAATCCCGTTTCATTTGATTCTATTTGATTTATTTATTTTTTTTTTTTTTCATTCAGTATGTCTGTAAAAATAAATAAATATACGCTAGTCTAAACATTTAATAACTAATAGTTTAACATTTTAAAAAAGATGCCTAAGAAAACTAAGTGTCTTTCTTTTTTTCGGGGGGGAGGGGGAGGGGAGAGGGCGCAAATTCAAATTTGCGTCGGGCGCCAAAAGAGCTTGCTACGGCTCCGCCACATAATACTATATGCTTACAGTGTGTAATATTTTTGTGTAGGTTATGGAATTTGTATTACTTTTTTTTACCCGGTTAACAGTTACCGTCATCGTCGACATTATATAAGGACAATGTATTCTAATGAGTACCGTTTATTGTTTTAAACAAAACATGTGACTGTACCAACAACCGTATAATATCGGGTAATAATAATAATAATAATATTGCCACGAGTATAAGATAAACGATGTAAAAAATAAAATACAGATAATCGTGACTGTAATTCGCTTGTCGGACCGCATCCGTTTGGATACGTGTATGTAAATCGCGTCCTACGAGTATTTTTCTGACGTATACAAAATCACGTTATTCATTGAGTGTAATAAAAATGCTCGCGTTTTCGAACACGGTAGCCCGAACATTATGACTATTCCTTTTTATTAACACAATATTATCTCCGGAAGTCGACAAATCAACATCGTCGTTTTTCGGTTCATTGTGTACACTTATAAAATGTTAAATGGTCTATTGAACACATAATTTTTAGTATACGCGGTCAACTGCTTTTCGTTTCACGATTATATGTTCGTTAAAACTTTCAACTAAACAATTATTATTATTACTATCATAACTTCACGTATCATTTTTTAAAAATTCGTAGCCACCGATCAATTTTAAGGTTTTGTTATTCTCAGTTTTCGCTGTATATTTATTTCGTTCGTTTTGATACATGTGCGACGCACTCAATTCAACAATAAAATCAGTAACGTAGAATTTACAGCTCGCGTTTACCAACAAATATTTATTTTTACGGATTGATGTATGCGTATGCGGTATGCACGTGACAGCGCGTCAATAACACGGGACGCAACTAACATCATTTATATTATATTGCTACGGGCACCTTTCATTGGGACGCAATTTACTATCTCCCTATGTGGTAGATACCTGTAGGGCTGTCTTAGAATTTCTTCACGCTGTCCAAAAACCAAATGCCTTCTCTTAAAATTAATACCGAAAATAACATAAAAACGGCTCAGAAAAACAACTCTACGAGACTCGATAATATAGGCAGATAGGTGGGTGTAACCTATAATACAAGTCACAACTAATGTGAATTTAATTTAATTTTTTCGTTTAGTAATATTTATTTTATATAAATATAAACGTGAAGTTTTGTACTTAAAATAGTACAAGAATAAATTTAATACTTACATTTTAATTGTTGAACGCGTTATGCGTGTGTACAGGTTTTCGAATTCATGGAACAAACTGAACTTTTGACATTTCCTACTAGCGACCTATCTAGTTTAGGTATGCTATAAATTAAAATGCCTTCTACTAATTTAAATTTAGCGATTTATAAGATTATTTTTCAATTTCAAACATATAATAGGCACAATCTCACCACATAAAACTAATTTTTCGTTAGTATTGCGAACGATATAATATATTAATAATATGATGTATAATTTCGGCGTGAAATATTAATTTTATAATCGTTTGTTTAGTTCTTCTTAACTTAACTTTAACGATTGAAATATCGTTACTGTTGTAATGGCTATTATGATTTAAAATAAAATAAAATATTAGATAAGTACCAGGTATTTTGTAAGCATCCACTGCTAACAACGAGTTTATTTCAAACGGCGAATTTAACATTAAAATTTCAAATAGGATGATGGGGACGGTACAGCCATTATTATAGGTTATTTAATGTATACGTAAGCAATGATAAACCGTTGCTTAAACGATTGTGTGCGGAGTTCAGTTGATAGTGATGCTTTGTCAACAATATATAATATATTCAAGTCGTATTATAGCGAAACAATTAAATAGACTTTATATATTTTTTTTTAATAATATTTGTTTAATGTTGTACCGATTTTCCTAAAGAGTTGTAAAATGGAAAATCGAAAAATGACCATCTTAAAGTACCTTCCCAGTCAAATTTCCTTTTAGAAAAATTGCTATCATTATAAATCGGAGCCAACTTGCTGATAAAAAATGTGTGCAAAGAAAAAAAAATCGTAATATTTTAGTAATATATTTCGTACATTTTCCCGTTTTCCTCCGTTTTTTCGGTTTATACTTAAAAAACGGAGCAAATTTTCTGGTAGGTAGAAAAATTGCGCACAGATAAAAAAAAAAAATAAACATCATTGTAAAACCATAAGTTTTTTCGTTTCACTCACAATCTAAAATTAAAAATTGTTTACACGAAAATCGTCTCGACAATATATATGATAATGTAAACTTACGTAATATTACTATCATAAATTTCTATCCAAACATACGAATGATCGATATAATTATAGTATGTCAAAAAAATTGTAAAAGACAAAAACAGACAATAAACTGTAATTCAGTTATATACCTGTAAGTATAACTACATAGGTTTTTTATTCGAAATTCGTGATGGCGTAGGTATATAGATATAACAATAAATCATTCTTCGATACTTGTATATTCTTATTATTTATGACGGGCTTAAAGTTTGTACGTTTGAGAACATATAGATCCGAATTAAGGGATTTATAGTACCTATGTATAGATATACTAAGACTCAAGACTCAAATAATTTTTTTAGATAAATAAAAACTAAATTGTCCGTAAACATCAACAAGATCGAATTATGTAATTACGAGTATTACATTATATGTAGGTGTATGCGCGCGCACCAGTTTTTATTCACAAGAAGAGTGCACAGAAGTTACTTGACGCGATAGCATCCGCGGTAAGTTTTCTGCAGCCTACAAATATTTAGTATCTACATAGGTATAATAAATTTAAATCGCGCACTAAATTGTCGTTTAATGGTCGATGTCCCCGAGGATTTCAAGAATAGCAAAATACGTTTAGAGTGGATTTTCGTGTTTTCCGTAGTTCAATATAAATTTATATAAACTGTGTAATGTCTAAAGAATTATCAATAAAATGAATGATGATCATATTTTATAGGAAACCGTTTATTATACATTCATTTTTATTTATTCGTATACAATTTTTATTATTGTTTATACGAGAAGTAACGGTGAAAACACTAGAAAAATCACTTTAGATATTAAGTACGGGGTACTATAGTATAAAGCCGATTTTAGGTTTCTATGAAAATAAGTTCGGACACCTTATAACCCCGTTGTATCCAATGTGGTCCATTAGTGAGTTATCAGTACATAGTCAGGATATTATTGATTTATTTTAAATAGATAAGGCAACAGTTTACAAAGGTTATTCGTAAAAATAAAACATATCAATCTGATCTGATATAATTGAGTCCGGCACAGTGTTTCATTTAATTATATGTGTCTAAACCATTATCATATAAGAGTTACCAATTTTTTTTTTAAGCTGTATAATATGGAATTATAGTACTTTAGTTTATGGTTTGAAAACCGGAATTTCCCATGATTTTCCTAACTGATGTCTCTGTGATATTTCAATGTAATTGTTATGATGCGTTTCAAACATAATTTAATCAAGTGCAACATTAACTTAATTTTCTTAAAAATTTGATCTTAAAACTATCATAACAAAAATTATTACTTTATGCATTCTAATTTTTTTTTTTTACTACTAATTACAAATTACAACGAACCTCCATTAAATACTAAAGAATTTTTGGTCCAATAATTTTATTCACAGAGTATTGAAAATCTCTATAAATAGATCAAATATTTTTTAAAAAAAATATTTAGAAAAGGGAAATATAAGTTTTCTGTCAACATTTAAAGTCTCGACCAATGTTTTTAAATGAATCATTACAAAAAAGATGGATATACTTTGCACACCACTGTTATAGGTGAAAAGTTGAGAATGTAGGACATAAAGGAGAATTTGATTTATATCTAAACGCAACAATAGAAACGGAAAACCAAAAAACGACTTCCTTATTCACCAACTAGATTATAAATGCAACAAAAATAATTTCTTGTCGTTTTTTTATTGGAGAAAAATATCCGGTAGAAAACACAAAGCAAAGAAGTTTAAAATAATGAAGTTGTTACGCTGTACATTTCTCACTTTTCATGTTTTGTCTTTTTTTGATTTTTCCAAATTGTTATAATAACTACTTAAAAATACTTGAAATCGGTTACCGTTTTAACTATAATTTTTTTTCGGTTTTTTCCCAATTATTTTGAATAACCCTTAGTAAATCAAATAGTGGCTTTATCTCAATGATGAAATTATCTTTCAGAAAAGGTGCTACATTTGATACTTCGGAGGAAGTTTTCTGATAGAAGAGTTTCTCACAAAAAAAAAAAATAAAAAAAACCACATCACGGTAAAATCGTAGTTGATTTTACGGTCCACTCCGAATCATAAACAATTTGTTACTTTTAAAATGAAAAACACGTTTTTCCGGGTCGAAAATGAAGTGACTTATTCTGGTTATTCCCTGTAATCTCCATGTTACGAAATATAATATTCAGTCGGATTAATAATACGATACTAGAATATTAATCAAGTAAAACGAATTAGTTGTTTGAGCACACGTTGTCCTTCGTGTCAGATCATCATCATTTTACTAGAAATTATACAATGACGGTGGTCTAAATGTGTTGCGAAATCACGTTTTCGATAGCCGCGGAATGAGTATTATCTTCAAAGCGCAAACACATGAGGAAACATTCCTAAATACACACGAAACCCGGATCTTGATATTAGAACTGGTTCCAATACGCGCCGATACATTTACTAGCCATGCAGAAGGTCAACTAGACTGTTGGGTACGTGGAGAGCTTTCCATCTTTCCCATTCTGTCCGATTCCCGTTTCCGCCATAATAATATTGACTGTTTCCGCCAAAAAAAAGTACGATTCTCGTTTTCACTCTTCAACTGATCTTCCCGCCTCGTACGTGAATTGGCAATACTACACTATACCCGGAGTTTTAAAGCTCATTCATTTCTCCACGCACGAAAAGCCTGTTTCAGCCGTCTAATTCTGAAATCCTCGATTATTATATTTGCCATCTGCTTACACAATTGTCCGAGTCCCGCGTTTATCCGAATTCTCCATTAATACTATCTATTATTAACTATTATTTGTTCAAGTATTAATTCATATTACCAAATATAAAAAATTCTGAGCAAAGTTCGGTTAAACAAGTTTTGAATGCCGAGTTTCTCACGATTTTCGTCAAAATATTAACTTAAAAACTCTAAAAAAAAAAAATAATTTTGGTAATACATTCATTTTTTTTTACATTTTTTAAGGACATGATAAACATGATGTAAAATTTCCAAAATATATTGGACATTTTATTACGTCCATAAAAACCAATTTATTAAGTGTTTTATAAAAATTCCGCGTCTCTTCGGTTATTTGATTGAAAATTATAAAAAAAAAAAAAAAAAATCAAAAAGAATGAAACTATAATTGCCGAAAACTTTTCCGTTTTTCTCGGTTTTCAACAACTACAAGAAAAATCAAAAAAGACCTTTTCAATGTACTATACATAGATGCAAAATGCTACGAAAAAGCACGATTGTCGTTTTTTGATTAAATCAATCGATTTCTAGTAGATAAGTATATTCATAAAATTACAATCGCTATTATTCACTAGTTTTTACCTAAAATATTCAATTTACACGTAACAAAAAGTATTAGGTATTTTAAGAATAACTGCTGATTACTGTTATGGAATCTATTGTGCAATATAACAATAGCAATGTGCGAGATTGACGTAATTATATAAATATAATATGTATTATGTCATTATGATTTATGAGAAAAATAAGTAGATACCTAATTACGTTGACGGTCTCGTCAAATTAAAAAAAAAAAAAAAAATGGTATTATACAACATTCCACTATAGTTTTAGGATGTATCGTATATATTTTATCCTATGACCATATCTTGTATTTCTCGGAGGTGATATTGGTTTCTAGGATATCTCGGCGAAAATGATATTTCGGCGAAGGAATATTTTACAAATTAGAGATGGAGTGGGTTTTTTTCGGTTCCCATTCTATTTACGCGTACACGTCATATTACAGAAACGTTTCTCGTTGGTCGAGTTATAATTATAGTTAATTAGTTTTTTTGGGTAAAATTATTATGTAGGCGGTAGTCCTCATTGAGCTTTATCTTTAGTTGCGACAACAGCCACTCTAAGTTAAAACTCCCAAAAGTATATATTTTTATAAAAATTGAGGTAGACTTTTATCTCCTATTTTAACTCATTGACGGTGAAATTTTCAAAAATCTTGATACTCGTGGTTCTTAATTTCTAACCAAGAGGTCAAATACTATTTTTTTTGGAATACTATTAACATATTATTATACGAAGTGATCAATCTGTCATAAGACACTCATTATCTCGGAAAGTATTTACTTTTTCTGGAATTTGTTTTCTAGAATATTTAAGAAACAAGCTGTTCTACAATTTTATATTTATGTTATTTTTTTGTTACCCTTATTTTTGAGTTGAGGGTACTACCTACTTTTGGTTTTCAAATGGAAAACTGTATTCAAAATTCGTCAACGAATTGACGGAAAT